GGAAGGGGCCGGGGAGGAGGAGGAGGAGGAGGAAGGGCGGGAGGAGGAGGAGGAGAATCTGCCCTGGCCGGGGAGGGAGTACCAGGCCTCGGGGCTAAGGGCTCATCGAGTGAGGAAAGTTAAATTTCTTCTTCTGAAAGAGAGCCAAAGGTTCGCGCCCGCCATCTTCTCAAGAACTTTTCTTAAAATTCCCCCCAGCCAACATTTTTTCTTGCCTTGACACGTAATTTAGGCAATGCCAAATTGCCAGGTGGGACCCTGGGGATACAGAGCATCGGTCTGTAGGCGACAAATGCCGACCAGGCCGTGCCGGTGAGGCTCCTTTCTCCCCTCACTAACCTTCACTGCTCCTAACAGCATTCGGAAAATAAGTATTTAGGAAATATTTCTGAGCCATATTTTGAAAATAAGTGTATCTTGTTTGTGTCTGACACTGACCGTTAGGTCCTACCCCGACACAGGGGACCCGCTCCCAGCAGGTAGAGCAACACCTCCGAGGGCAGCCCGGTATCGCTTCTGATCATTTTATCGCCGCTGAAGAGAAGTGAAAAACTGTCTGGCTACCTGGCAGTACCTGTAGAGCAACTACGTCACGCCATTATTAAAATAGAACATTTTTTAACTGAACCCAACAGCATTACTAGAACAGACTTAAGATCTCCAACTTATCAAAGACGAGTTTAAGTCAGTTTTGATGTTCTGAACAAGATTTACGTTACCTGTTCATCTGTCAGTCATTCCATGCCCTTTTGGCTGGTTCCAGTCTAATTTGGAGAAAGTCATCACAGTCCTGTAAGTTTTGAGGAAATAAATCTAAATTTGTTTCCTCAGCAAAGGAACAGCAAGCAAAACACTCATCTCTTACGCATTCTTGTTAGCAGCAATCAGCCAGACAATTAGTATGTATAAATTAGCCATCCACTTTGCGTATACATAGTTCCAGACTGCTAGATGGGCTCTTCATAGGACAAATGGAGAATAAATTGTTGTTAGTGTAATTAAGGTTATTTAGGGGGTAAAGGATCCAAATCCAGAGTGTCCAGTGTCTTCATTAGTTCTGTTGCTTGCCATACAGCTGCTGGAATGGCAATGGAGTACTGGGGAATGCCAAAGCACTAAAAAAAGCTTGCACCAAACATATATTTAAAAAAGGGTAAAGACGATGACACAGGCTAGCCTAGCATAGCTAGTTTGACGTGGATATAGGGCAGAATCATGGAAGAGGTGACCTGGGATACAGTCATTAAATGCCAATAATTAAATGCCAATCAACACACTTTCATAAAAAAGATTTGATTAATCACATTTTAATTTAAGTTTGATTGATAAAGGTAATAATGTTGATATAATAGCTTCCATCTGATTTAGAACAGTATGCTATTCTCATAAATACAATGTGGAATACAAATTCTGCATAGTTCATAATAAGTGATTCAACTGACAGTTCTCAAGAGAAGTAGTTGTAAGTGAAGATTTGTCATAAGGTTGTCTTTTGAGGTGGTGTTATTCTTGGCCTGGTACTATCAGAAATGACCTAGACAAAAATACCAGATCGCTACTTTGCTGTTGTAAATAAAGAAAAGGGCAGGTCGCTTAGATAAACTCCTTTGAATTGCTTTGTAAGATCTTCTCACTTGTAAAAACACTCCTCTGAAGACAGTCAAATTGGAGGTTGTACAGTCAAGATAAAGCCTCAAAGCCGCACCTGGAATCTGAGGGAGAATGACTGGCATGAGACAATGCTAAAGAGGACCTGGACATTATGGTACATAAGCAGCTGAACATGAGCTCCCAGAACAAAGCTCTTGCTGACTAATACTCTGAAGCAAAACCAGAGGAAGATCAAATACAACGGGAATGGATATTACCCCTGTTTATAGAACTAGTATCGAAATAATGCATTCAGTTTGGGCATTTACACTTCAAAGGGATGTTAAATATTGGAAAGAGCCCAGGAGAAAGTTGTGAAAGGTGTGGAGAATGTGCGTTAATGTGAGATATTTTAAAAGCACAATCCAATGCAGGTGTGACCTTTGTCATAAGTGTACTAGTACTTGTCTGGGTTAGAGACGTTTGAGGAGTAGAAGCAGTGTTCTGAAAGCAAAACTAAAAAAAAAAATGAGACTAGAAATATAGCATTTCTTAATTGGCTATAGGATTAAATTGTCTGTGAATCTGTTTTGAAAGAAAAAAATAGTTTAAAAAATGGAGATTTTTTCAAGAGGTACGGTAGCTCAAGCATACACAGCTGCAGTTTTGGTATGGAATACATTGGCAGAGGTTCTGTGTGGTCTGATATAGAGGTGGTACGACCACAAGATTACACTCGGTCTTTCCTTTCCTTAAACTTGATGACTCCAGAAGAAAACCAAGAAGTCTACTTATCTAGCAGCAAAAGAAGGAATAGGATCCCAAGGATATTCCCAAAAAAGAAAGTTTATTTGTTTGGGGGTTTTTTGTGAGTTCTAACAGGCAACATCTGAAGAGCTCCTGGCACATTTCATTGTGACGTTCAACATGACGTTCATGCCTGACTGTCCAGTTCTGCTACTATTGCTAACGTGATCTCCCAGACAACCCAGCAATGACTTCAAAGAAGTCCAGATTTCCTCAAGGAAAAAATGACAATGCAAAATGCTGTCACTCATGTAAAGATCATCAAAGGAACAAGAGTTCCACCTTCAGGTCTGGGAAAATACTACCTCTGATGGCAAAAGATAGCTCAGAAAAAAAATGTAATGTGTAGATGGAGTTGGACTTCCTGAATTACAGACTCAGATTTGTATTGCATGTCCGTGATCAATTGTGATCTCTTATAGATTTGACAACCATGTGTATTCCTGTACAGTTATCAGAGAAACTGTTCTGTATCACCAATAAATAACATAGAAGAAAATCATGGAGAGTCCTAGAAAGGCAGAGAACTGTTGTATATCTGAGTAAGGAAGAGCTTGCAGCAGTTTCTTTTTCCACATGAGATCATTCATAGGTTTCAAATACATGGATTCAGGACCAGGTTCCAGATGTGCAATTCATTTAACATGCTCAACTCTATTCTCGGCAGTCTTTCCTTATACACAGACTCTCAGATAACTCATGCTGGGGATGGTATTTCAGTGAGTGCTGCTCCATAAGCACAGAACTTCCCAGATACTTACATTATGTTCCCAAGGTACTCTTTTTCCAGTAGAGCATTTCAAAATTCTGTTGCCTTTTTCAATGCATTACAGATACACTGATTTCACTGTCAAAAGGCTTGTGCTGGCAAGAACCGATATAAAGTTTCCATTGTGTCATGGAAAACAGCCGTTACTGTGTTACAGTGAACATTGCTCTCTCTCACAGTCTTTCAGGAGCACAAGGTTGTTTGGAACGAGGTCCCCTTCTAACATACATCCCTCAAAAAAATCAAACTCTTTCAGTAATTCTTGACTGAGGGGTGTTTTGTGGAATATGTGGCAGCATTTTCTGAAACTGTCTTCCTGATGTAAGTGACATACTGCGATTTGGTTTGGGGGGAAGCTGTTTGCTACTGTTGACAAAAATTGTGCTGTAGTTTTTTACAGTTGGCGGAATTCTGATCCAATGCCCTTTTAGTGTAATTTGCTGCAAAACCAGCTCAGATTTGGTTGAGGATCATTTGTATAGTATTGCAGAAAGTAGGTCTCCCAAGTGGTAATGAAACAGAAGAGTTTTATTATACATTAACTTATTCACAGCAGCAGTAACACTGAATAGGGTGTAAAAGTAGGAGAGAAAGCAATTAGGGCAAAGCAGATTTTGTTTTGAGAGAAACACTTCCTCACTGGTTGCACTGGCTATTTGGGTCTTTTCCAGCATATTCACAAGTCTCACACTGTGACCTCGATGCAGGAATGGTTTACAGTAGCTGCCGTTGATCTACCCCTGCAAGTAGTGGCGCAGCAAAGCCTATACAGAGAGGACGGTAGGTACAGAAGCTATCTATAACACCTGGTCCAAAAGCAGTAACATTTCCCTCCTGACAAGAGCAGGGTGAAACAAGCATCGCGAGCTGGTGGGAGCTCGTGTTGCCAGCACTCGGGCAACGTGCACCTGCAGCACTTTGCCTGGGGAACCTTAGCTGTCCGCTGCTGGCACAACCAAAGGAGATAAAACATTAAAACAAGCATTGTTGGGGTTGTGGCCCTACCTGGGAACTTCCCCATGACTGGCATTACATCATGATCAATGTGTTTTTTTCCCCAATGTCTTTTTGTTCCTACTGGAGCTGAAGAGGATTTCTCCCACTCAGAACTACTGATCAGCTTTCAGTATGTGCTGTAGCAACGGTGTATCTGATATTCTCAGTTTCACGTGTAAGGTCACCTAAGCAGTTTTATTTTACTGCACTTCAGAAGAAGGTTGAGCTAACTCAGTCAAAAAGCTTTTAGTGGAACTGTCTTTTGTGCACATTTGTCTCCTGTTATAGGACCGAATTACATTGGCATCACCTTAAGCTAAATCCCTATGAGTTACTCTAACT